AAAACTGATGCCGGTAGCGACAAAAACCTGCGGGGAACTCTGCAAAAAACGCATCTTCGCACGGGCCGCCCGTGCGCTGGCCATTTATTTTTTTTGTTTTGAAAAAAAATATATCTGAAAAACACGCCGTGAAATTGGGCCTAATAAGGCCCAAGCGTGATAAGCGTTCTTTCATTTTTGTGATTCTTGTTGCTATTGATATCGCGAATGTAGCCTCATTTTGGCAAATTTTTCTCTCTTTTTTTCTGGAAATTTTTTTTGTTTTATTTTGTACTGAAAATATAATATATCTAAACAGTACGCCATAAAATTTCGCTTTTTTTGCAAATGTGTGTGAACCGGGTAAGAAATCGAACCTCTCATTTTCGATATCGCCGTATTGTAATTTTAATTTTAGATGGTATGTGTTTATGCAAGAAGTAAGGGAATAAAAGGGGAATGAGAGGCGAAAGGCCTGTAAAAATTTACATGCGTTAGTCAAAAATTTTGCGGGAAAATAAAATTAGCACAGATTCGAGTTAGTAATTTCCGTTTTTCAGGTTGCGTGGAACCAAAAGCACTGGTATCTGCGCGGTTTCTTGTTCAATGCTTACAGCTTGCCATGCATGCATACTGGCGACAACACAAGGAGAGACAGGCCCGACTCTCCAGAGAATGCCCAGAAAGAAGGAGAAGTTTGTTTTTTTTTGTGGAGTGTGTGTGTGTATGTTTGTGTGCGTGTGTGTGTGCGGGTCTGTGTGTGGGTGGGTGTGTGTGTGTGGTATATGTATGTATGTGTTGTGTATGTTTGTTTGATGCACATATATGCTTGTGTACGTGTGTTTATTTGATACATGTATGTGCGTGTGTGTCTGTGGTGTATGTATGTGTGTATGTATATGTGTGTTTTTGTATGTATGTGTTGTATGTGTGTGTATGTATATGTATGTATGTGTTGTATGTGTGTGTGTATATGTATGTATGTATTTAATAACAGCATATTTCGTCATGTACGGCTGCGTCTTTTTTTGATGCTTTTCATTCTCATTTTCTCTGGTATTCCTTTGGTACTTCAGTAGCTGTTACGAATTTTGGGGACATTGATTTTTCGCAGATTTCATCAGTTTTATAGAATTATTTTCGAGCTACAACTAATTTCTAATATTCAGAGGATGATGATGATACAGATGATGTCGAGACAGAAGAGGGTAATCCGGTGGAACGTTCGGTCTTGGTGATTTTTGAGAAATTTCTACGAGAAACTCGAGCCGGACATTTAAAGGTACTGAAAGTTTTGGAGCTCCGTGTTAAATTAGCTCCAGTTATGCGTCAGTTCTTTTAGTAT